TCACGGGCCCAGCCGCTCCGCGGCATGTGGGATCTTCCCGAAACGGGGCACGAACCCGCGTCTCCTGCATCGGCAGGCGGACTCTCAAGCACTGCGCCACCAGGGAAGCCCTAGGTTTTTGCTTTTTAAGGATAATGTGTCCCTATATTGTTACATAATTATAAATGGATTCCAAACACTCGACACTCTCCTAGCCACAAAGTGGGGCGGGTAGGCGGAGCTAACAATACAGGCATTGTTTTGCTGGGTACAGTGGAGTGGGAAGGAAGGTGGGTAGCATGCAGGGCGGGGGATGCTGCCCTAAGGAGGCTGAACCCACGAAACTCAGTGCTATGGAAAACCCTGTGAGTCCCCAGCACTGTGATCCCAATATGGCCAACCTCTGCTCGCACCTCGCAGATCCCAACAACCCTGTCTAGCCAACAGAAAGAGCTGACTTTCAGCCTCTGCCCTGCCCTCCAACCCGAAAAGTGGCTGCCATGCCTTGTGGAGCTGGAGAAAGAGTCAGGATTACCACAAGGAAAAACTTTCTCACACTCCCAGGTGCACAAGGATGGAGCAGGTAGCCTTTAGAGGGACTGAGCTCCCTGTCCCTGGAAGAATGCAAGTTCATGTTGAGGACACACCGAGGGGCCTTTGGGAGCAGGTGTAAGAGCCCTAGGATTCTATGACCCTGTGAATCCTAACTGCCCTTCGTTCTAACATATACAGCGCTAAGCCCTTTGCAGGCATCAGCTTCCACATTCCTCACAATACCACCATCACCATTTCACAGACAAGGAAACTGAGGCTCAGGGATATTAGGGAACTTGCCCAAGATGACAGAGCCAGGATTTGAACCCAAGGCTCTCTGCTTCCACCAATACTCTCACCACCACCCATGGATCACTGTGATCAAGTGGCAGGTGAGGCTTCTGATCTGTTTATTCACCTGCCAACTGGGAATCATGTGACCACCCCCAATCCCAGAAGATAGGGCAAGAAGGAAGGATAAAAGATGCCACACACAAATGCCCTACCGACACAGGCCATTCATATGGTTTCTATGTCCTGAGCCTCAAGGATGCCTTCTGACTGCTGGGCCTTTATACGAGGTATTCCAAGGTTCATCTGCTCTGCACCTCCTTACTACCCCTTCCACATAACTAAACCCTTCAGGGCCCAGTTCCGTCAGGAAGCCTCCCCTAGTGGCCCTGGCCCCTGATGAGTTCCCCTTCCTGAATTTCCTCCTTCCCATCCAAAGCACCCTACCTCCCACATGTGATGAATTGGGAGATTGGGATTGACATATATACACTAATATGTACAAAATAGATAACTAATAAGAACCTGCTGTATTAAAAAAAAAAGCTTCCAGGTTTTTAATGACCAAGAGCTGTCTCTAGATCAAACTTGCCTGCTTCCATTTTTAGATGCTATCTGCATAAATTCATGTTTCCCTTTTTGCCTAGGCTGCTAGGAAACTCAACAAAGAATCGACAGCCTTAAACTTGCGACAGATTCCAGATCTCCTTTTAGCTCTCTTTAAGTCAATCCCTACCCAACCCACACATACACCACTAACTTTTAAAAATATATTATGTTAACTCTTCCATCATATGCGACTTGATATCATATTCCATCTCATGTTCTTTCTGGAGCTAGATGGGATTGGGGGGAGCGATAAATCAGTGAACACTGAGGTTGGTTCTTCAGGACACATTTAATACTAAAATAAACAAAGAACACATCTCCTTCTCAAGAAGCTGGGGCCTTTCTACCTTCCCTTCGTACCACCCTCCTCCCACATCTGGAACTCTTCACCAGATCCTGGGAAACAAAAGGGTTTGATGGAGAATTAGCTTTCACCTTCCCATGTACTGCCTCCTCCAGGCAGCCTTCCCTGATCCCTCCACAGGTAGCTCGTCCTTTGAGCTCACAAAGAGCTTCTGGACAGCAGGCCCTGAGCCTGGGGTCTCCATCACTCCCACAACAGCACCATATCCAGTGCCCAGTAGGAGCCCAGATGAGTGCGGTAATAGAGCACGGATCAGAAAAGTCAGGCCACTCAGGGCTTAGATCCCAGCTCTATCACTCTGTGAGCTCTTGGGCAAAGAACTGACCCCTGAGCCTCAGTTTCCTCACCTGTAAAGTGGAGGTGAATAAGAGAATATGAAGTTATTGGCAGAAGGCCTGGAGCTTAGTTTGCACCTGAGTGATGGGAGCTATGATGGCTTCCCAGAAGACGGGGTGCCTGTTGAGTGGAACCCTCCTTGTCTCAGACCCTGTGGAACTGTCCATTGCCAGAGAAACAGTTCAGGAAGCAGCTTCTCCCACAAGCCAATTGGTGAAGGCACTAAAAGGTGCAGGTCTTCAGAACTCTGATGGGAGACCCTTGCCCCCTTCCCCCGGGCCCCAAAAGCACTGCAGGGAGGGCAGAAGAAGGCCATCCCACTCACACTCAGTCCCTGGGAGTCTAAGTGTCAAGCTCCACCACAGCTCTCCAGGCCAGTCCTGCATTCCATGGACAGCTCAGTGTCTACATTTGCACAATGGGACCCAGATGCTCAGCCCACGGGGACCCCCAAATCAGAGAACAAGCCTCTGCCACAGGAAGCTACCCCAGTCCTTGCAGGCACAGCAGGACCTTCCTCTAGTTCCCCTTATTCCAAGTTTCATTGTTCAAATGCAAAAGGGGCTGATGCTCAGGTCCTGTCTACCGGGAGCTAACCCTGGGGACCCACCAGGCAGGGGGTCATCCTGCTCAGCCCAGCAGGGATCCCTCTGCTGTTCCAAACCCCCTAAGGCTGCAAACAGAACATGGTCACCACTTCTTGCAAGGTATTCAAGCCTTCCGCTTCTGGCCACCCAGAAACAAGCGCTTCAGCTCCAGTGTAGGGGAGCAAAACTTGCCACCCCAAAATTCATCTCTTGGCATAATAATTTTAAGCTGCTAATCTAAGAAACAGCAGACATGGGAAAAACTGAAAACCAAGGTTTCTTACCCTTTTGTAAGAAACATTTACATGTGTAAGGGAAATCTCCATCTGTAAGGGTGTCTCCCTCACAGTACCAAGAGGTGGACCAAATCTCTAGAAACATATCATTGGAAAAAGTAACGACTTAAATCTGAATCACAATTGTTTACTGTGCTTTTCCTGCTCACCTCCCATAACTGGCTCCCCATCCTCAACACCCTCTTGTGTCTTTAGCTGAAGATGGTGTTTAAGGGGAGGGATTTGGCCATTTGGGGAGTTCCTCAGTTTTTCTGGGTCTTTCCCATGTGTACATGTGATTAAACTTTGATTTTCTCCTGTTAATCTCTCTCATGTCAATTTAACTCTTAGACCAGCCAGAAGAACTAGACCGGTAGAGGAAAATTTCTTCCTCCCCTACACTGGGCTAAACCAACCTGCTGGCTACTCTCCCCACTTCCCTTCCACTTCCCCAGCCCCAAGCCTTGCCCCGCACAGTGGCCCGCCCTTTGAACACCCTTTCCCT